AATGTTCATGAGACCTAAGGCAGCTGCCCTGTTTAAACAGATCTGCCCACAAGATAAACTGTAGGAATCAGGTCAATTAAACATGACATCTTCACATGGACAATGACAGCTAGTTCAACAAACTGTCACAGTCTAATGGAAGGAAATAATCAATATTTACTTTATTTTGACATGCATGTGCCCAAATATCCATTATCTCTTCTCATTAGGCTTTTAGTAATATTTACTTGCACGAGCATTTAAGCTGCTCTCAAGCAAACATTTTTGTATTATTTTATTTTTAGCCTACAATTTTATGTATAAGTAATGTTTCATAACAATATCCCTAACTCTTCTGAATCTGATAGTCATCTGAAATAGAAATTTAATTAACGCAAAATTTTTATGTTTTGATACATAGTTGGATTTATGAAATAAATAATACTAAGAGCGAGCAGAGTGCTGCACTTAAGTTGCTGGGAGGAGCCCCCTCCCCCCCCCCTAGGGGCAGTCTGGAGGATGTTAATGGTGCATGCTACCTTATAAAAGCCAAATTGGGGAATCTTCTCCTCAGTCGTGCGATAGCTGTTCTCTCCAACCTCACCTTGGAATATGATGTCAGCACCACCTGGTTGGGACTTCTCTTCCGGCGATCGGAGCTCGCATCACGGCTCACCCTATTGCAGTCGTTTGAATTCCCTGCATGGACTTGTCTGGGCAACACTAACCAGCCAAACCCTCCCCACATTTTACTTAACGCCTCTCACGATCGTCGTAGGTCCTGCCAAATGTCACCCCTCCGTAAACAAGTCGTTGTCATCGATTCAACCGGACCGACCAGGCGTATCGCATCTCCGTATATGTGTAGGGTTCGACCTATCCCACCGGTTCCAGCCCCTTTCTTGCCCCGTTGTCCCACTATAACCTTTGCCTATTCCCGATCGCTGCACATTTTATACACTTCCAAATAGTCACGGAGCGGAGTTTTATAGATCACCGCTCATCTCCACCTCTTTTGGAAGTGTTACTGTAGAATCAAGAGAAGTGTTGTTCTCGGCACTCGAGAACAGTTCATAAATAAAAGTAACTCGGTTATGTAGTTGAATACCAAAGTGTTTACATGGCCATAAAGGACTAAAAACGCCAATGCTTGAGCTACGGTCATGGCCTCGATCGAATTGCCTCTTCAACGGTATACTAATCCCCTCCCCCAATAATTTCGCCAGATCAGTGTAACGTGTTACAGGGTATACGAAGCCAGATTGCTAACTATAAAAGTTGTTATGTTTTCTATGTATTGATATTTTTATATTTATTGTTATGTTTTGATGTATATCTTTATTGATATTGTAAATCTGCGAGGGCAACTTTTATTCGTCTGCAACAGTGTTGTCGATTGATCAGTCGGAGAAACTGCGAAGGAGAAATACAAATTTCCTGAAAAATGATAAATTTAACCGAAATGATAACCAATCACGTCGCAGCCTTTATCCGTGATGCGCGAATTAAAAACACAAAGAGTTTTCGAATAATATACCACAGGTTTTGCTTCAAGAAACCTTAAAAGAAGGCTAGTACTTCTGGGTAAAATTGTGACGCAAGACACAAGCGACCTCATCGTTTTTGAATGATATTTGAGCATTCTAGCAAAAAATTGTTGTAAAATATGACCAGTTACTTCATAAAGCAACTGAAACATTTGACGCTGAAAACAACGATGGCTGTCTTATTATTCATCGAATGTTATTTTAATTTGCCGGTTTTGCAGCTAATATTACGGTTATATCGGGCAATTTTAACAATCGTTACGCAGTGCCTTTTTTAACTATATATCTGAGGGGAGGGCAATTGCCCCCACCCCCCAGGGAAATAATCCCCCACCCCCAGCAAAGCCATTTATGCCCCCGAAGTGCGAAGCCGAATTGCTCATGATTGGGTCAAAGTTGCAGTTGATTTACTTGATAATGAGATTATGCCTTTCCATAGCCTCCTCCACAGCCATCTTGTGTGTAATTCATATTGCTCTTCACCGAGTACTTCATAGTAGCGATAGATTTCATGCAAACAATCCGATAAAATGCTAGCGTTTTGAAGCCTTACGACAATTTCCTAGCACTCTCCTCCACAGAGGCGTTGTGTTTTGTTTTGGGAAGTTTTATAATTTTTTTTTTTTAAAATATCAAGTTATATTAAGAGCCCCCCCCCCCAATC